CCCCCCCCCCCCCCCCTCTTTTCTGTACCATATCAGTCCACATGCTTTGCAAAAATGGGGGAGGTTGCGTTGCAAGGGGGCAATGGCAAAGGTACCAAGTCCTAATGTTGAGGTACAAGGGCTTCTTCCCCACAACCACAAAAAGGGTGTGGGAGTTTGTGGAGGGGGCTTTTAGGAATCTGGAAGTCCCCTTTAGAATCAGAGGGCCCAGATATCCACCCCCTCTCAGGGGAATGTGTACAGGGATACATTACTCCTTATTACTGATTCCTCAAAAAAGTCAAATGTAAATAAAGACACAGACACAATGAAAGATCCTTTAACAAAAATACAATTTTAAAAAATGTTTTAAAAAAGTCAGCCAATGGGGACACTACTTCTGGTGACCCTGCTGACCATCAGGGATTTCTCTCACTTCCTATTGTGGGTATGAGACAGGAAGGAAAGGGAAATCTCTCCAATCAGACACAGATGACAAAATAAGCTGACAGGGATTATAACCCTCCCTTACTCTATCCAGAACAAGTTTTGGCTTCCATTCTACTTTAATAAATTACAGGCAAATGTGTAGTTCATTTTTTCAGAAGATAATTTCCTTTCCCTGAATGAGCCACTACTTTGTGGATCCAAGAATCCTGCACACTACAATAATGTTTTTTTTTGTTTTTTTTGAATCCTCTTTATTCAAAAAAAATTAAACAATAATAATACAACCACATAATTAATAGTGTAATTTACAACAACATGATTATACATCCACATACATACATAGATACAACTCACATTTAAGACACTGCTATTTTCGCAATTTAGTCCATATTTTAACATTTACATTTCATGGTCAACCCTGAACGGTCTTCATATTATATATGCCAAATCTTAAATTGGCTTCCCACATAACCTATCTAACTTCCTTCACCCTCCCCATTTATATCGTGATATTTTCTACCTCCGTATTTAGTGCTTCATATTAATGAATTTTGTATATTATTTAGGTGTTTACTCCCGTATTATGTAGAAAAAACAACAAAAACAAAACACTAATATTTTTAGTGTATTTCATTTGTTTATTTATTTATAATGTGTTTTTTCCCCCCTTACCATCGCTTGTAAATCAAATCTTTATTTAAGTACTACAATAATGTTGAGCTCCTTTTAAACAACAAACTGTACTCTGCAATCTTTTTTTTTAGAGGGCTGTTGCCCATGTTTGCCAGATCACCCACCTATTTTGGTCTTCCTGAAGCTTATGGTTTTCAACTTGTAGTTCTTGCACCTTGTCCTTTTGCTCTTGCAGTTTTCGTTGATGCTCCTGCTGTGTCTGCTCCTTTTCTATAGAAAGCTGAGAAAACCTGCGAGAATTGAAATGCATAGACAAAACAGTTTATATATTAAAGTATAAGTATTAATTTCTGAATATTCTACTGGCATCCACTATCTCCCAGGCTTCTGAGATGAGATAGACAAACCCCTATAACACCAAAATGTGCAGTGACTCTCATCACTTTAGGCATTATGTGTATGTCTAAAAGGCATAATTTGATACAAAAGTTAAAATCAACAAAAAAGAAAAAAACACAAAACTTTCCATACCGGACCTACTTAGCAAGTTCCATTGTGATTCTTGGATAAGTTAGAGGATAAAACATAATTTTGATATATCACTTATTCATAATCGAACTTGAAAATAAGCCTACACACAAGTCATACCGTTTACATAGTGAACTCTAACATTTAAGTTGTGGCTAAGTTAGAAGAAAGAAAGATGTGAATTTACATGTTTGTTTTCCTTCAGTGCCACTTACTATTAGGCTTAAGGTGACGTTTTATTTTTTGGGCCAATCTTCTGTCTGCTAAACACTTACAGTAAAAGAATCACAGGACACTACTGTTTGTAGTGTAGCAGGGAAGGTGAAGATGTTTTGTGGATATCATCTTAAAATAGTACAGTTTATACAGGTGTATACATCAAATCTAAAACAAAAAAAACGGTTTTCACCCCAAGGAGGGTCTATCTTACCAAAACAGGGACATTTGAGAACTATGAACTAGTAAAACTGAGCTGGCTCATCTCTGTGCTGGCTATGTTGTCCCTGGATAAAAATATGTTTTACTAATCTTTGATCATTGTGCCCCAATTTATCAATTTTAGCAAGGCTGAAACCATTACACAAATATATCTCATAGATAGAAAGCAGATATTTTAATTTTGGGTAGACCTTTACCATTATAATGTGGAACTTTAAGTGTCTTAAGTACTTTACCAGAAAATTATATCCAGATGATGAGGTTGGATAAACTCAACCACAAACTCTCCTCTATAGCTGTGCGAAGCACAGTAGAGTCCTCATAAACAAAAGCTATACATGAAAACATCACAATAAGTATGAAGAGTTTATTTCGCATTTAAATTTTCCATCAAGACACTTTTGGTGAAGAGTAGTTTATCTTCTAAAATATGAGCATAAAAAGTGGCATATGTGCAGTATGTACTGGAAATTAGGTGTTTTCACTTGTGACAGAAATTGTTTTACATATTTTTGGCAAAAATCAAGTGTTTCTCCCATGTCTTTTCACAAGTTGGTCTTTGCCAGATAAATCTCCCTTGTAACCACTGTACCATTTAACAGCCTCTTTCTTTCCTACCTGTCTTGTAGCTCTCGTTGTTCTTGCTTCAGCAGTCTCACAGCACTTCGGCCTTTGCGCAACTCTCTCTGCATACGTTCTAGCTCTCCTTCTTGTCTCTGCAGATCTCTGAGGATGGAGTCATAACGTCCCTGTAGTTCTGACCTCTCTCTGCGCACACCATGCAATTCCAACAGAAGCAATGACAGAGGGGACTCAGTAGCAGTAAGAAAAGGTTCAGTGACAGGTTTTAATGGAGATAGAGAATCGGAAGTATCAGATGCAGAAGTTTGAAGAGGTGTTGTACTAGATACAGGCGATTGTAGTGACACAGTTGCTGTTGGCGATAAAGGAAAGGCAAGGACAGATTCAGTGGCTGGTGATGCTACTGAAGTAGATGGAGGAAGCACTAGAACAGAACTTGTGGTCCACAAAGATTTCAGATTAGAAGAAGAATCGGACAATGCAGAAACATTGCTTGTATTTACTTGTCTAATTGATATATTTTCCTTTTCACCATCACACAGTTGGATTTCTTGTACATGCAAGTTTCTGGAGGATTCCTCTTGGTGTTTTTTTCTTGGTTCTGCATTGAAATCAGAAGTCGCTGTTTTGTTTTCCATTTTTCTCTTGTGGGTTGTCTTTTCTCCACTTCTATGTTCTACTTGTCTTCCAAGAGACTGAACATCTTCAGAACTTTCATATAGTTGTCTCTGCAGAAGTTCTGTCAGCTTAATGCTTTCATCCAGTTTAACCGTTAGCGACTGCTCAGATATCTCTTTCTCTTTGAGCTCTTTTATCAAGGCTTGCTGCTTTCCTGTACAATCTTCTAGCTGTTTCTTTAGTGTTTGTATTTCTACTTCTTTTTCTTGAACTTGCCTCTGGGAACTTTCTGCTTCTTTAGTGCTCACTTGAAGCTGCTCGAGGAAACATTGAGTTTGTTCATTTTTCTGCAGCACCTGTTGAGGTGACTTTGTATTCTTCAGCTGCTCATTTTTTTCATTAATTTGTTCTGAAAGGAATTCATTGTTTCTAATTATCTCATCCAACTGCTTCTTAAGGAGCTGGTTCTGTGCACTGCCATTTAAACTTCTCTCCATTGACTGGTGATTGCTCTCATCCAATTGCCTTTTCAAAGACAGGTTCTCTCTTTCATGTTCTTCAAGTTGGATTTTCCATGAGTGCTCCTGCTCAGAAAACTCTTTCAACTGTCGCCTGAGGAACTGAAGTTCTGCACTGTTCTCCTCCAGCTGTCTCTTTAGTAACTGTTCCCTTTCCTCCAAGCGTCTGTGAAGCAAAAAGTTCTCCCCGCTTCTCTCTTCCAGATATCTTTTTTGCGACTCAGTTTCCTCTAAACATTTTTGAAGCTGATTCTTCAAGGAATCAATTTCTTCTGACCTCTCCTGAATCTGTTTGTTTAGTGCAGTTTCAGAAGTTTCCTTTTCTTTCAGCTGTATTTTCAGGGCTTGTATTTCTTCAGCATTCTCTTGCAGTTTTATTTGGCATATCTGTCTTTCTTTTGCATCTTCTTCAAGCTGCCTCAGCTGGACTTTTCTTCTTCCATCATTTTCTTCCAGATGTCTTTTTAGCAATTGCAACTCCCAGTCACTCTCTTCTAGTTTTCTGTGTAGGAACTGCTGTTTTCCAGCACTCTCATTTAGCTTTCTCCTCAGTGACTGAATTTCTTCCTCTCTATCCTGAAGCTGTGTCTGAAGAGAATGTATGTCAGCTTCACTATTTCTAATCTTTCGTAGTAAGCTTTCTTCTTTCTCGGCTGCAATCTGAATTTGGCAATTGAGACTCTCTGTTTGCTCAGACATATCATTGAGTTGTTGCTTAAGTGAAACTGACTCTCCTGTTAGAACTTGCAGATCATTATTTTCGACGGCATGCTCTTTTATTTGTTGTTGTAAGTATTTTTCTTCTAGGTCTATAAACTGTCTCTTTAACAATTGTATTGCTGAATCTTTCTCCTGTAGCTGTCTCTGCATGGACATAATTTTCTCTGAATTTTCTTCTAGTTCTCTGTATTGAGATTGCCTTTCTCTTTCATTCTCCTCCTGCTGTCTTTTTAGTAACTGTTCTTCACTGGTAGTTTCTTGCAATTGTTTCTGAAGAAAGTGGATGGTAACAGCACTTTCTTCCAGTTGCCTTTTCACCAACTGCTCTATGCCCTCTATCTTCTCCAGGTTTCTCTTGAGTTCCTGAACTTCTCCTGTTCTCTCTTCAAGCTGCCTTTTCATTAGCTGCTCCAAATCTTCTCTTTTTGTCATGCATTGCTTGAGTTCTTGCACCTCAACTGTTTTCTCTACCAATTGCCTCTTTGCTATCTGCTCTCTTTCTTCCAATTTTGCCAGGTTTTCTTTGAGCTCTTGAGCCTCCTTAGTCCTCACTTCCAGTTGATTTTTTAGAAGCCCTTCTATTTCTTCTCCTTTTTCCAGACTTCTTTTGAGCATTTGAACTTCTTCTTTCTTTTCTTCCATTTGCCTTTCCAGTAACTTTTCTACATGCTCTTTTTTTTCCAAGCTTCGCTTCAGTTCCTGTACCTCTTTAGTTCTCTCATCTAACTGCTTCTTTAGAAAATGTTCTGTTTTCTCTCTTTTTTCCAAGCCTTTCTTTAAAGTTTGTACTTCAACTGTTCTCTCTTCTAGCTGTCTCTTTACAAGCTGTTCTAATTCTTCTCTATTTTCCAAGTTTTTCCTAAGTAGTTGTATTTCCCCTGATCTCTCTTCCAGTTGTTTCTTTAATAACTGCTCTACTTCTTCTCTTTGTTGCAAGCTACTTCTGAAAGTTTGTACCTCTTTAGTTTTCTCTTCAATGCACCTTCTTAAAGTCTCAACTTCCATTGTACTATCTTCACACTGCTTGTTCATGGAGTGGTCCTCTCTTTCTTGAAGATGCAGCTTTATAGATTGCATATCTCTTGTGCTGGCTTCTAATTGCTTTTTTATAGAGAGCATCTCCTCAGAACTCTCTTGAAGGTGCTGTTTTAATGAATGTGATTCTTTCATGTCAGATATCTGCTTCTTTAATAACTGATTCTCTAAAGATGTCTCTTGAACATGTTTCTGAAAAACAGAATTTTCGATTTCTTTCTCCTGCATCTGTTTTCTAAGTGTCTGTATCTCATGCACACTCAGTTCTATTTTGTTACTTAAAGACTGTACCTCTCTAGAACTTAACCCCAACTGTGTATTCAGTGAGTGCATCTCTTGAGCGCTTAGTTCCAGCTGTGTCTTCAGTGGCTGCACCTCTCGAGTGCTTAACTCCAGTTGTGTCTTCAGGGATAGTATCTCCTGAGCATTAAGTTCAGATTGCGCTTTTAATGACTGCAACTCTATAGCACTGAACTCAACTTGTGTCTTTAGCGAATGCATTTCACTAGTACTCAATTCCAACTGTGTCTTCAGTGACTGCACCTCTCCATTACTTAGTTCCAGCTCTGCCTTTAATGACAGAATGTCTTCAGTTTTTTGTTCTGATTGTTTCTTTGCAGACTGAACGTCATTTAAACTCAATTTCAGTTGGGTATTTAATGACTGAATCTCTCCAATGCTTGATTCTAATTGTGTCTTTAGTATTTGCATCTCTTCTGATTTATTTTCCAACTGTGTTCTTAAAGATTGATTGTCTTTATTAGTCTGGTCTAGCTGAGTTAGTAGTGACTTCACCTCTCCATTGCTTAGCTCCAGTTGTGTTTTTAACTTCTGCACCTCTTCAGTATTCAATTCCAGTTGTAACTTTAGTGACTCCTGCTCTACAGTACGCAGTTTGGGTTGTGTTTTCAAGGATTGGATATCCTCAGAATTCTGATCATCTATTGTGCTTTCTTCCAGTTGCTTTTCAAACAGCTGTACATTGTGTTCATATTTATTTTTTGTAATGTTCTCCTTTGTGTTGGTTTCCAGATTTACATTTGATAGTTTGGTGTCTCTTCTTGCACAATGTTTTTCATCAGTTTTGTGTGATTGCTTTTCTACAAATACATCTTTGGGAATCGCTCTTTCTTTTTGGTTTATATCTCCATCACTGTGTTGAAGATCTTTATCCACTAAACTGCCACCTTCTGGTTCCTAAGGAAAAAAAAAAGAAAAATCAGATTACTAAGACTGAAACTGAACTTTGGGCACAAATATTCTTCAACAGCTATAAAGAATATGAAACCACTTTGTGTCCACCAAATGCCTTTGCACACCATATAAAATCATCACTGTGCTTCATATAGTCTGTGCAGAATAGGGGGGCAAATAAAAAAAACCATTCACCATGCCCAAGGAGAGACAAATACCAGCAGTGACTGGTATTTATGTTAAGAAACTCCTGCACAGAGGAGAAGTTTCACACTGGATTACTGCATAGGTCCACACGAAATAGACAAATCACACCAGGATTCAAGTACCAATACACATGACTTTTGTATTTAGACAATATTTGTGTATCCCAGAATTCAGCTTTAATATTTTGAAGGCATTGACTAGGCAAGCAATTTAAAAAACAAAAAAACAGATGCATGCAAAGATCCCTAGCCAAGTTTGAGAGCATATGCTTGAAGGCCAAGTCACACCATATCCAGTGCGTCCTGGTGCAGTTCGCACCTGGAACGCACTGGATCGCATACATGAAGCCGGGGTGTTGGTGCCATTCATGTTAATGGCACGGCAGACACGCCCCCCCGCAGTGCATTTGCCCACACTGGAATGTGATGTACAGGAATGCCCTCCTTTCTAGTGCAGTGCGATCTGAAAAAATGCTGCAATGCAAGAGTCCAGTAGACATCCCAGGTATGATAAAGTTTAAAACACAAAATAAAAAAATTATAATATAATAAATTATAAATAATTATAAGAAATTATAATATAATAA